AGGGTCAACACAGCCGTCTACCAGGAAATTTTGGAGCACTTCATGCTTCCTTCTGCAGACGAGCTTTATGGGGATGCTGGCTTCAGTTTCCAGCAGGACTTGGCACCTGCCCACACTGCCAAAAGCACCAAAACCTGGTTCAATGACCGTGGGATTACTGTGCTTAATTGGCCACCAAACTCGCCTGACCTGAACCCCATAGAGAATCTATGGGGCATTGCCAAGAGAAAGATGAGACATGAGACCGAACAATGCAGAAGAGCTGAAGGCCGCTATTGAAGCATCCTGGTCTTCCATAACACCTCAGTAGTGCCACAGACTGATAGCTTCCATGCCATGCCGCGTTGAGGCATTAATTGCTGCAAAAGGGGCCCAAACCAAGTACTGAGTACATATGCATGCTTATACTTTTCAGAGGTCCGATATTGTTCTATGTACAATCCTTGTTTTATTGATTGCATATAATATTCTAATTTTCTGAGATTGTGGATTTGGGGTTTTCATGAGCTGTAAGCCATAATCATCACAATTATGACAAATCAGGGCTTGAACTATCTTGCTTTGCATGTAATGAGTTTATCACATATATTAATTTCACCTTTTAAGTTGCATTACTGAAATAAATGAACTTTTGCATGATATTCTAATTTTTCGAGTTTCACCTGTAATTTATAGCGCTGCACTTTATATTTTAACATAAAATGGTGTAGCGCTAACACATCATACTTAAATACGTAAATTATAATATATATATATATATATATATATATATATATGCATAAATCAAAAATAACAGAATCTCTGGTGATATGATCCTATCAGGATCCAATAGTGAAATATATAAAGTGAAACGTGGAAAACCAGGAAAAATCCTGTAAAGTGAAAACACAAATACACAAATCCATAAGCTCCCCTATCGCCAAATAAGGAATCAAAACCAAAAATACTGAAGTGTATACTACCACGAATCCCCTGCCAGGGGGATAATTACCTAACAAAAAGTGATAAGTGCTATGAAAAAATACACTTAACCACATATGACCATCAACATAAATGAAAGTGAAAAAAATACTCATAAAAAACTTCAGTCCACATATAAATGTCCAATTTGAAGAAATCATATATGAACGTATACACGTGATCCACAGACGAAAATCATGCAGGTGATGAAGTGAATAAGTGATCACAGCAATAGAGAAATATCCTCAAATGGCCAAAATGCCCCTTCACCACCTTATAGTGACTACAAGGGCCAGCTCGCTTTTTAGGATCACACCACGATTCTTACAGGTACTAATTCGTCACAGGATAATATCCGCACGGGATCCCATCAATGGTGGCACTTACTTCTCTCAGGTCCCCTCCAGATACAGATATCCACAATACCGCTCACTAAGTGGTCTGAAGTGGAGGAGATCCCATGCTGGTGGCCATGTGTTTAAGATGGAAACAGAGAACCTGTTTGACCGGTTGGAACCAGCTGTAAAATGTCCCATGTCAGTCCAGCTGAGGAGAAGGTGAGAATTCTGTCTATTTCTGTTGATGAATCATCTGTTGGGATGGTTGGTTGAGTGGCAGATCCCTTGTTGCAGCGTTGATGTTTCCTACCTCCCCTGTGGCCGGATCTCTGCCGTTTCCTTGATTCCGATGGACAAAACAAGGCCGGTGTTGTCCCTCTATAGATCCTAATAAAGCTCCACCAGCAGAGGAGGGACATGATGGCTCAGAGGCTATAGAAGAAGGTCTAGTGAGCAGTTTAGATGGACGAGGTGAGAGTCTTGTGTAGGTTGCGCTCCAAGAGTACGCCTAATTAGTAGACGTTTAGACGTTGGTCTCCTTCAGCTGCTCGGCTGACAATGCTGACTGCAGTGTAGACTCCACCTGTGTGATCTGGGCAGTCAGAGCAGCTTCTTCCTTCTGGAGAAATCTTATTTGGGGATAGGGGAGCTTGTGGATTTGTGTTATCACTTTACAGGATTTTTCCTGGCTTTCCACATTTCACTTTATATATTTCACTATTGGATCCTGATAGGATCATATCACCAGATATTCTGTTATTTATGTACACACACACACACACACACACACACACACACATATAATTTATGTATTTAAGTATGATGTGTTAGTGCTACACCATTTTATGGTATTTCGCATTTACACCTAGTAGGTTTAGGATTGGGTGTGAGCAGCTTGGGTTGAGGGATTGAAGCACAGGAGGATTTATCACTACACTTCCTGAATACCTATCACAGTTTCGGAGGCCCTGAAATGCCACAATAGTACGACCCCCCAAATGACCCCTTTTTGGAAAATAGACACCCCAGAGAATTTGATAAGAAGCATGGCGAGTATTTTGCAGATCTTGTTTGTTGCCACAAGTTTTTGTAAAATGAACAAAAATATATATTTTTTTTATATTTCAAAACCTTGTGCGAAAAAATTAGATCTGCAAAATACCATGCCTTTTATAGAATTCCTTGAGGTGTCTACTTTCCAAAAAGGGGTCATTTTGGGGGGGGGGGAGGGGGTTGGTACTATTCTGGCATTTCAGGGCTTCCAAAACTGTAATAGGTAGTGAGGAAATTAAATGAGGAAGTTACACACCTTCAGGCTTTCAAAGTGGTCAAAAAGTCTCACTCAAGTGGTATCCCCATACTCGGTAGAAGTAGCATAATTTATTTTGGGGTATAATTCCACATATTCCCATGGTATGTGTGAGCAATATATCATTTAAGTGACAACTTTGTGTAGAAATTTTTTTTTTTTTTTAGCATTTTCCAAAAACTTGTGGAAAAAAAATAAAGCTTCCATGGACTCAACATGCCTCTCAGCAGATAGCTTAGGATGTCTACTTTCCGAAAAGGGGTCATTTGGGGGTGTTTGTAGTGCCCTCGTATTTTAGCATCTCAAGAAATGTGATAGGCAGTCAGAAAGTAAAAGCTGTGTAAATTCCAACATCTATACCATAGTTTGTAGATGCTATAACTTTCACACAAACCAACTAACATGCAGTTATTGCAATTTTTTTACCAAAAAGACAAGTAGCAAAATACATTTTGGCCTAAATTTATGACGAAATTTGAGTTTATTGGATTTTTTTATAACAGAAATGAGAAAATGTTTTTTTTTCAAAATGTTCAGTCTTTTTTTTTTGTTTTTAGCGCAAAAAAAAACCCCCCAGGAGGTGATCAAATACCATCAAAAGAAAGCGCTGTTTGTGTGAAAAAAAAGGACAAATTTCATTTATGTACAGTATTGCATGACCACACAATTTTCAGTTAAACTAGCGCAACGCTATATAGCAAAAAATGGCATAAATTGCAGTATCTATACCATAGTTTGTAGATGCTATAACTTTCGCACAAAGCAATATACACTTATTGGGATCTTTTTTTTTTACGGAAGACATGTAGCAGAAAACATTTTGGCCTAAATTTACTATATATTTTTTTTATAGCGGAAATAAAAAAGTTTTTTTTCAAAATTCTTGGTCTTTTTTTTGTTTATAGTGCAAAAAATTGAACACCCAGAGGTGATCAATTACCACCAAAAGAAAGCTCTATTTGTGTGGAAAAAAGACATAAATTTAGTTTGGGTACAGCACTGCATGACTGCACAATTACCAGTTGAAATAGTGCAGTGCCAAATAGAAAAAAAATGGCCTTGTCAGAAGGGGGGTAAATGTGCAGTAAAAGTGGTTAAGGAGAACCTGCCAGCATTAACCACTTGCTCTCCAGAGGATTTACCCCCTTCCTGACCAGGCCATTTGTTTTGCAATATGGTGCTGCGTTAATTTAAGGCTACTTTCACACTGAGGAGTTTTTCAAGCATTTTTGCGTTAAAAAAAGCTCCTGAAAAGTTAAATAAAACTGCTTCCTTATGTATGTGAATGTATATCTATGTATGTTTTCATACTGAGGCATTGTGGTGTGGTGTAAAAATTCCTACTTGCAGCATCTTTGGGGCATGTTTGGGGAGTTTATAAAAAAAAAACATAAAAACGCCTTTACCCATTGAAATTAATGGAAAACGCCTGAAAAATGCCTCTGCATTTTTGAGGCGTTTTTTTTTTGCGGCGGATCAGTGTGAAATTAGCCTGACACTTGCGTGGTCATGCAACGCTGTACATAAATGAAATGCATGTCTTTTTTCCCACAAATAGAGCTTTCTTTTGGTGGTATTTGATCACCTGTGCGGTTTTTATTTTTTGCATTATAGAAAAAAAAAACCCGACAATTTTGAATAAAAAAAAAAAAAGTTATTTTTTACTTTTTGCTATAAAGCATATCCAGAAAAAAAAACTAATTTCTTCTTAAATTTAGGCCAAAATGCATTCTGCTACATGTCTTTGCTAAAAACAAAAATCCCAATATATGTAACTTCATTGGTTTACGCAAAAGTTATAGTGTTTACAAATAGCGGTATATATACTGGAATGGTTTTTTTTTTATACTAGTAATGGCAGCGATCAGCGACTTATAGAGGGGACTGCGGCGTGCATTCTGATACTGGGTGGAAACGAACTGCCACTGACACTAATACAGTGATCAGTGCTAATGAAAAGCACTGACACTGTACTAATGAAACTGGGCAGGAAGGGGTTAACATATGGGGAGATCAAAATGGTTAACAGTATGCGGTTTTACATGATGTGTTGTGTGTGTTTTACTAGGAGACATGCTGCTGTTTATTTTTCTGCTTTGCAGTGACATACACAGCAGCATGCCCTTGCTGACAGGAGAGAGATCTGTGTTGTTTACTCACAGGTCTCTCCCCTTTCAGTTCCACAGGACGATTGCCGTGTGCCAGTGAGGAATCTCTGGCCAGGACCTGGTGATTGACATCCGTAGTCATCAATGGCGACGCAGGTATGGGGGCCCCTACCCGGAGATGCAAATTACATATATATATATACGTGATTTTGCGCAGACCTGCCACCTTGTAGCAGTAGTACTGCAAGAAAGAATAAGAAAGTAATTGTTCTTTGATTTGCTTACCAGAAAAAGTAGTGTGTGATACGTAGGTCACATATAGCTCTTTTCAAGAGGAATCTGACAAGCGGGCTATCCAGATAACATTCATATTTTAAAGCCTGTTTGAAAAGAATGTATGGAGAAAGTCAAATGAAAAAAAAATGGAAGATGCTCACAATTTTCATTAACTTTTTAGCACTGCGGGATAATAATAATAATAATAAAAATCTAACTTTATTAACCACTGCGAATTACTAGCTCAGTCCATAGTGATTTACATTTACTTCAATGAACAACAGGAGTAGCAAGTGTCCAACAATCCCATCAGTCAGGAAGGGCTACATGCCAAAGATGCAAACAATCAAGATCTTTTGCAAAGGCTTTGTGGTTACAGTCAAATCAGAATAATTTAACAGCAGAACCTTAGTTCAACCAGGTCTTTTTTTTTTCAGTGGAAAGGGTCATCTGCACAGTTACAACTATACAATAAAATAAAGTTTACTGTCTTCATCCTTTAGGCCTCATGCACACAGATCATTTGCTCAACTCCTTTGAAAACCTTTTCTCCTGGCAGGAGAAAAATGGTTTAAAAAAACATGGTAAAAGCTGTGTATTAACCACTTGCCTACCAGGCACTTATACCCCCTTCCTTACCAGGCCAATTTTCAGCTTTCAGCGCTGCCGCACTTTGATTGACAATTGCGCAGTCATGCAACATTGTACCCATATGAAATTTTGATCATTTTTTTCCTCACAAATAGAGCTTTCTTTTGGTGGTATTTAATCGCCACTGGGCACTTTACTTTTTGCGCTATAAATTAAAAAAAGTGCAAAAAATTTGAAAAAAAAAAAAAAGTTTATTTGTTTCTTTTATAAAATTTTTCAAACAGGTATTTTTTCTCCTTCACTGATTTGCGTTGATGAGGCGGCACTGATGGGCACTGATAGGCGGCACTGATGGGCACTGATAGGCAGCACTAAAGGGCACTGATAGGCAGTACTAATGAGGTGGCACGGATAGGCGGAACTGATAGACAGCACTAATTAGTGGTCACGGATAGGCGGCACTGATATGCAGCACTGATAGGCGGCACTGATAGGTGACACTGATGATGGGTACCGATAGACGGCACTGACTGGCATCACTTCTGGGCACTGACTGGCGGCACTGACTGGCACAACCCCTGGGCACTGACTGGTGGCACTGACTGGCAGCACTGGTGGGTGGCACTGGTGGGTGGCACTGGTGGACAGCACTGGTGGGTGGGCACAGGTGGGTGGCACTGGTGGGCACAGGTGGGTGGCGCTGGTGGGCACAGGTGGGTGGGCACAGGTGGGTGGCACTGCTGGGCACATGTAGGTGGCACTGCTGGGCACAGGTAGGTGGCACTGCAGAGTGGCACAGGTGGGGGCACTGCTGGGCACAGGTGGGGGCACTGCTGGGCACAGGTGGGGGCACTGCTGGGAATGGGTGGGCGGGGCTAGTGGGCGCACAGCTGATCGGAACTTGCGGGGGTCACTGCTGGGCACCGATCATCAGGGCACTGATCATCAGTGCCCTGATGATCGGTGCCGATCCCCGCTCTGACAACTGCCGGTTCTCGGCAGTACTTTCCTCACGATCTGACAGCGTGAGGAAAGTGCAGCCGAGAACCGGCACTTGCATTTTCCTGTGATCAGCGTGTCATTGGACACCGCTGATCACGTGGTAAAAGGCCGGTGGGATCGGCCTTTCACCACATCTCGTGATCAGCTGTGTCCGTAGGACACAGCGATCACGGAGATCGCCGGGTGCGCGCCCCCTGGGGCGCGCAGGAGAGCGCGTTCTGGGAGGACGTCATATGACGTCCACTCAGAACTGGCCGGCCGCGGTGAAGCCGTCATTCGGCTATGCGCGGTCGGCAAGTGGTTAAACACGTGATTATGCACATTCATTAATTAATGCATTCTACTGGTCTAAAAAATCTATTTGAAAATTTTCAAAATGTGCGTGTGCAATAAAAAAAAAACACTAAAATATACAGCAAGCCTGCACCCTCTGTGCATCACTCAAAGAATACAATTAAAAAGGAAATAATGTGCGGTTCTTCCAAAACAAGAAAAACCATCAAAATCATATATGCTAAAATATACTAAATACAAGGAGTCTGTAATGAAGCCTTATGCAATGTGATGTAAACAGTCTTCATAATCATAAATAATGTGCAGTGCTTTCAAAACAAGAAAAACAAATCAAAATCATATGCAGTATATGCTCAAATATGCTAAATAAAGTGGGTCAGCAATGAAACCTTATACAATGGGATATAAACCATCTTTAAAAACCTTTCAAACATAAAAGGTGTGTGTGTGCGTGTACACATACACACACACACACACATACATACATACATACACACATGCATGCACCATTTCCCACGCGCTCTTCAAACTAAAAAAAAATGTATAACACTCTACTCCAACACCCTGGTGAGTGAATCTGCTCACTTCGGATTTCCCTCTGAGCAAACAGAAGGTCAAAGCAGGCAGTTTTATATCAGAATGAGGGGTACTCCACTTCTCCAGCGTCAACTGGTAGCATAAGGATCCATATTCTCATAATTACCATCCAAGCACATCCAATAAATAACTGTACCAGGTGCCCCTCAAAATGATAAAAGCAAAGGATCAAGTGCTGTCTGTATCAAATGATCTTTATTATGTTAAAAGAAAGAATCCAGCCTACTCATAAAGAATTGACATGTCTCTTTAAACAAATCCAGCAAATATACAGTCCCTCCAGAAAGTATTCACAGCGCTTAACTTTTGCCACATTTTGTTATTTTGGCCTTATTCCTAAATGGATTACATTCATTTTTTATCAACGTTACCCCATAATGACAACGTGAAAGAAGTTCATTTTGAAATCTTTGCAATTTATTAAAAAAAAAAACAAAACACATGTACATAAGTATTCACAGCCTTTGCCATGACACTCAAAATTGAGCTGTGGTGCATCCTGTTCTCGCTGATCATCCTTGAGATGTTTCCACAACTTGATTGGAGTCCACCTGTGGGAAATTCAGTTGATTGGACATGATTAGGAAAGGCATAGACCTGTCTATATAAAGTCCCACAGTTAACAGTGCATGTCAGAGCACAAACCAAGCTATGAAGTCCAAGAAATTGTCCATAGACCTCCAAGACAGGATTGTATCAAGGCACAGATCTGGGGAAGGGTACAGAAAATTTTCTGCAGCATTGAAGGTCCCAATGAGCACAGTAGCCTCCCTCATCCGTAAATGGAAGAAGTTTGGAACCACCAGGAATCTTCCTAGAGTGGGCTGCCTGGCCAAAATGAGCGATCTAGGTAGAAGCCAGGGAGGTAACCAAGCACCCGATGGTCACTCTGAAAGAGCTCCAGCATTTCTCTGTGGAGAGAGGAGAACCTTCCAGAAGAAAAACCCTCTCTGCAGCACTCCACCAATCAGGCCTGTATGAGAAGAGTGGCCAGATGGAAGCCACTGCTCAATAAAAAGGCAAATGCAAGACCACCTGGAGTTTGCCAAAAGGCACCTGAGGGACTCTCAGACCATGAGAAACTCCCTGGTCTGATGAAACAAAGATTGAACTCTTTGGTCTGAATGCCAATCGTCATGTCTGGAGGAAGCCAGGCACCGCTCACCACCTAGCCAATACCATCCCTACAGTGAAGCATGGTGGTGGCAGCATCATGCTGTGGGGATGTTTATCAGTGGCAGGAACTGGGAGACTAGTCAGGATCGAAGGAAAGGTGAATGCAGCAATGCACAGAGACATCCTTGATGAAAACCTATTCCAGAGCGCTCTGGACCTTAGACTAGGGCGCAGTTCATCTTTCAACAGGACAACGACCCTAAGCACACAGCCCACATAACAAAGGAATGGCTACAGGCCAACTTTGTGAATGTCCTGGAGTGGCCCAGCCAGAGCCCAGACTTGAACCCGATTGAACATCTCTGTAGAGATCTGAAAATGGCTGTGCACCCAAGCTCCCCATCCAACTTGATGGAGCTTGAAAGGTAATGCAAAGAAGAATGGAATGAGAAATTGTCCAAAAATAGGTGTGCCAAGCTTGTAGCGTCATACTCAAAATGACTTTTGAGGCTGTAATTGGTGCTAAAGGTGCTTCAATAAAGTATTGAGCAAAGGCTGTGAATGGTTATTAACATGTGTTTTTTGTTTTTAATAAATTGCAAAGATTTCAAAACAAACTTCTTTCACGTTATTATGGGGTTTGTAGAATGTTGAGGAAAAAATGTATTTAATCCATTTTGGAATAAGGCTGTAAAATAACAAAACAGGTCAAAAGTTAACAGATGTTGAAAACAGAAGAAAATGTGCTCTTATATCATGCTGCTTCATGCTCAAGTGTACGTTTCAGTTCAGTTTTTCACCCTATCAAGATAAATTCTTGAATGGTACTTATCGGAATACTGATCCTTATGCTGCCAGTTGAAGTTGGAGAAATAGAGTACCCCTCTTTCTGATATCAAACTGCCTCCTTTTACCTTCTGTTTGCACAGAGGTCAAATGAGCAGATTCACTCACCAGGGTGAGCATCACCCACTTTTTTTTTTTCTTTTGACTTCCTTGTTCAATATTTTTATTTAGGTTTAAGAAAAGGAGACAAGATTTCCAGAATGCAATTGATGCCAACAAAAGAATTAATTGGATCAAACAGATATCTAGCAAAACAGTGCTGTATGCACATGGCATTTAACAAGTGGTAAACAGACTAGTTATTAAGTGAAGCCTTACTGGGTAATAAAGACAGCAACGCACATAGAGAATACGCAGGACTGAAACAAAAATCTTCTGAACAACCATGTCTAAGGCCACACACATTTTTTGAGTTTGAAGAACACATAGGAAACGGTAGATGCAAGTATATATTTTTTGTTTGGAAGAATTATAAAAAGACTGTTTCCATCACATTGTATAAAGTTTCATTACGGGTTAATTTTATTTAGTATATATATGATTTTGATTAACTGTATTTGATCGATTGTGTTTCTTGCTTTGAGAGCGCTGTACATTATTATTATCCTTCAGAATATGAACTTATTCTAGCCATTTGAAAGCATTAAGAGGCAAATGT